GTGTCCTTTCATCAGCCTGTTCCCAGCCACTTGTCACCATTTCCTTCTCACTTTTGTCATGGGAATGGTTTAAAAGGTCAGAAAACACCTTTTTTCAACCATTTCATACACCTATAACTTTTTTCACTGTCTGCCTGGCAGGTACTTTAATACAAGTTGCCCTTTCAATAGAAACTCTTCTCTTTGGGCTTTACTCTTTGTGCTGTCTCTTTAAACTCCATGGCACCTTCAGCCTCTGAGCAGATACTTTTCATCTGGGCCTTGTTTCCTCCACTCTCTCTCCCTCATATACTCCCCTCCCAGCTCCTCCTTTCCCATTTTCTCTGAGGACTTGACTTGTGCTGCTTGGGAAAGAGCTTTGTGTGAAGCTGCTCTTTGGGGTAATGGTTTGTGCATCGTGTGGTTTTAGAAAGGAAGGCTGAGCTGCACAGTGATCCCTGGAGGTGCTGCTACTTTTTTTTTCAAACAATAGAAGTATGTTTTACTTGCTGTGTGGTTTTGGGTTTTTTTTTGTAGTAGGTCTATAAGGCAGGGTTCCTAGAGGGGTTGTATTTCTCCCTGTGCTTGGGTTTAATGTGGTAGCATAAGCTCCTTCACAAGCTTGGGTGAAGCTGCCTGTGTTTGTGGAAGCTGTGGGTTTCTCTGGTGGTACAGGACCATTTGCACGGGTGTTCAGCCCTCTGCAATGCATCTTGCTCCCCAGGAGCTGCTGGAGGTGAGCAGTGGAGGGTGGACAGCCTGGCTATGTGCCAGCACCACCACCAGCTTTTTGTTTTCCTTCCTTCTTACTTGCTACTGCTGATATGGAAATAATGGGTATAAAAGAGCTCCTGGCTATGGCTTGGTGGCTTTTATAGCTGTGCTGGAGAACAGCCTATCATCTTGAGGAGGGTTGTGCAGGCTGGTTTGCTTCCGTGCTACTCCAGTCTTGGAGCTTCACTGAGGCACTGGCTCACGTGTGTGGCTCTTGGCAGGACTGTGAATGACTTATCCTGGGCTTTTTTTGATTACATGAGGATCTGTGTGGTTTCTGAGTGGTTGTTTGTGCTCATGGCTGCTCCTCAGGCAGTCAGAGGCTTGGGCAGTGCACCTGAGCAACCCTGAGTGTTTCTGCACCATCAGCTCAGTGCTTCAGAGGGAGATGGGGACTCTGGGGCAGGCTGTGGTATTTATCTGCTTGGAGGCACTTGCATTGCTCATCTCTGCAGCTGGTGGGGTGCTAAGACTGGGCATGCAGCCATCAGAGGTGTGATAAGTGGTAGATTGGTGGTAACTTAGAGTATCAGGTAGGTAAAGAAAAGTGGAGACATACTGCTCTGTCTTACCACCCCATCTTTTGGGGACTTGGTGGTCATTGTCCCCCACCTCTTGGCTGCTGTGAGTTGGGAGATGGAGCTCATGAGGACTCTGCTCTAGTTTGCAAACTCTGGGTCCAAAAGCTGCCTACAGGCACCTTTTATAAGGCCAGACCCTCCTAAAAACGGACCTGGCAACCCAGTTCATTGTCTTCAGAGCTTGACCATGCTGGGCAGTACTGCAGCCTTCTCTCTTCTTGGCTCCTTCTGTAGTCATTCAAAGAGCCCAACATAATAACTGCATGCCCATGGTTGCCATGGGAACGGGAACTGGGTAGTCATCCTGATTTTTGTGGCAAACTCTTGGAGGTGTTTGTTTTTTTTTTTTTTTTTATAATAGCAGACACCTTGTGTCCCAGGTTGTGAAACTGGGCTGACTCAGTGTGCTTTGAACTGGCCCGCAGGATGTTCAGCTCTAAACATCCTGTCTAAGGGCCACCTCCCCTTGGTGGCTTCTCCCTTTATCTGCCTCTTCTGAGTAATAACAGCTCCTCGCTGCCACATCTGGAGAGGGAGAAGGACAGGCAGGACTCACAGGTAAACTCTTCTACCCATAGGGATGAATACACTGATGAGGAGCTGTGCTGTGGGATGGGCATGATGCTTGGGAAGAAGGGGCACAGGGAGAGTCCATCTGCAAGGCAAAGGCTGAGTGTGGTGATGGTCACCAATGGGGCTAGTGAAAGTGGTCCTGATAGAGACAGACTCTGAGTAATCATGGGCAACAGCCAAGTTTTAGGGTCTTTAGCTCTCTCTTTTTAGAGTTATCAGGTTTTGGAGGTGCATCCTAGCAGAGGATTTGCAGGAGGAGAGGAGGCTTGTGCTTCTATTGGGCAAAGGCTATTGGCACAACAGAGCTGTGCCTGGGCAGCAAGGATGGATGAGGATCTGCAGAGAGAAGACTTTCTGAATGTCCATGGCTGGCTGCTGAGCTTGTCTTCTACAACCAGACTGGCTGTCCTGGGATGCTGCTGTTCCTGCCAGGCTGCTGTTTGCACCCATGGGTGCTTGTAAGGGATACTTGAGCATCCACATGGACAGCATCCTTCTGGCAGCATCAGTCCCCCCGCATCAGCTGGAACAAGTGCCCACATGAGGCTGAAATAATGGATGGTGACAGACCCAGAGCTGAGATGGCTGTGGGGGAGAGCCTGGCAGTGGAGCAGGGGTGATGTTCTTCAAGAGCAGAGTCAGGGAGGCTGCGAGCAGTCGGGGAGAGGCAGCCTAAGGAGGGCAGGAGCTCCCGTATGGCTGGTCCAGCAAAAGCATTGCAGCCTGGAAGCTGTGGAGAGAGAAGGGCAGCTCAGGTAATAACTTCTGACTGCAGCTGTATTTCAAGTCCTCTGACAGGCAAAGGAGCTCTCAGGAAAAATAAATAACCCATGTGGCTTTCCTCAACTAGTGTTGTCCTCTCTGACTGCAGCTCACTTGGAGCTTAATCAGCTTTTTATGGGAGTGTGGACTCAAATGCCAGGGCTGGGGAAGCTGGTGGGTGAGAGGCATCAGGTTTGGACTCAAGGGGCTGTGTGGGTGTAGGGTGGGTTGTTTTTCTGTGCCTCGAATACATGAGCTGTGCAAGTGGAGTGTTGCTTGGAAACATGTCAGGTTTCTCTGTGAAATAGTAGATGTTTTGTAAAAGAAGGGGTTTTTTTGGGTTTTTTTGTGTGTGTGTTTGGTGTTGTATTTTGTGGTTTGTGTGTTTTTGTTTTGTTTTTTTCTGATTGGGCTACACACAAGCTTCTTCTTGACCCAAGCATGGGTTTGGGACATATTTGTTAAATAAGAGATGCCTCAGATATGTGGTGGGAGTTGTGCCCAGCTGGTAGGTAGCAAAGGGGACTCAGGACACCAATCTTCCTGGGTCAGGCTGCTGAGAGGTTATAAAGCAAAAGAGTCCACAGCACCAAAAAGAAGAGGTGTGAGCTTGCTCTGCTGGTGAAAAGGGTGGTTGGGGTAGGGGATCCCAGGGATGGCTCTGCAAGAGTGTTTTGGGGGCTGCTGGTAACTAAGGTGAAGGGCTGATGTGAAATGACAAACCCCTGGGTTAAAGCTGGATGCTGGCATGTCTTGGAGAAGCCTGTGGAGCTGCAGATGGAACCTGTTGGTTGTAACCTCTGATGCCTGGTGCTGGATGTCTGTGCTGCTCTCCTCTCTTCCAATGTAGCATGTCTTATTAATGCTCCTGCTGACATGCCTTGATCAGGGTACTCTCTGGAGTCCAGCCTCAGGCTGCAGCCCTTGTAGTCCCAGTCACTCCAGGACAATGGCAAGATTTGGTCATATAGCATACAATTGTGTGCTGCTTAAATGGGCTTTGATAGCATTTGCCCTTAGTCACTTCAGCATGTAGATACCTGTGCAGGGAAGATACATGCCCTGGACTGGGTGTCCAGGCTATAATCAGGACAGAGATGGTGCATGAGCCATCTCTCCCTGATGTAGGCATCCGAAACAGAGCAGGAAGGCATCACCAATTCCCAAATCAGCTCCCGGCACAGGGCGTTTCCTCCTCTGCCTCACAGGCTGTTCAGTGACTTCCCTCCTGAAAGGAAACCTTAACACCATGTAAACAGCTTGGAGCCTTCCCCAGATGACCCATGTCCCAGCGATGCAAGGGCTGATGATAGTCTCTGCCTCCAGAGGCTGTTTGCCCATGCAGGGCTGAGCCATCCAACCGATTCCAGCTCTGCAGCCAAACCTGACCGGGGACACCTTGCAGAGCTCTCCCTCACCTACAGCACCTGCCACGCCACATCCTACCCTTATTTTGCAGTGCCTAATTACTTTCTAGTGTGGGAGGACTTGGAGAACGTGCTGGAGTTGTTCATCCAGCCTCTGCAATCTGCTCTGGTATTTATAAACACAGCGAGGATGTGATTTGTGATGCAAGTGCAAGGTGGTGTGGTAGCTGCAGGATGAGTAACACCTTCTTCCGTGCACATCTGAGCTGTGGAGAAGGCCCAGAAAGCCTGTGAGGAAGGAAAGAGGCCTCCATAGGTGGTAGGTTCATACAGAGAGCAAGGAGAACAGTCTTCCTGGAGGAAACAAGACCATCCTGAGGTAGCATCAAAACCTCACTGCTATAAACATTTAAATCATTATTTATTTCCTTCCGTGCTTCCTGCTCTGGGATTTTTTTTTCCCCACAGAATATGGCCTGAAATACTTTGCAGGATATAACTTTGCCCTGACATACCTTTGCTCTTCTCCCTCCTTGCTGGAACTCGGTTGTGTTGGGCCATTGCAAGGCATTTTCATACCTTTAGGCTTCAAGCTCTTCCTACTGGAAGTGAAATCTCTTTTCCTTGTGTCAAACCCCTGCTTGTGCATAACAGAAGGCTTGTGTGGAATATGCATGAGGCTCCTTTTGGAAATGATAATGATTCCCTGGGTTGCTGTTTCCTGCTCCTCCTGTTGTGCAGCTAGGAAAGCCTTGGCTGGCTGGAGCTGCTGAACAGACTGGCTGGATTTACACTCGGGTAACTATCTAGTTCGGAGGGAGTTTGTTCAGAGGAAATAATTGTCATGTTGCTTTTTATTAGCAAAAACTTTATGGTTCCTCTTCTAATAGCACGTAGCTGTTGCTGCTTTCTTGAGTGCTGATGGAGATGCTGTTTGCCCTTACAGGTACAGCAAGCAAGAGAGATGCCAACAAGTTTCCTGGGCAGTGCCCTCCGGGGCACCTTCCTCTCCACGCTGGGGCTGTGGTGGTCTGTGCGGTACCCCCTGAGGTACCTCCGGAGGAACAGCGATGCCCAGAGCCAGCCCAGCTGTGGGGCACAGCGCCTGGAGGTGTTGGAAGGGGCAGTCAAAGCTTTCTTTGCTCTGGCAGGTACAAGATGATGAGTCTCTGTCCCAATCTCTACTGGCACTGTGGCCTCTCTCTCCCACAAGGCTGGGGCTGTTTGTAGTGGGAAGTGAGAGGGTGTGAGAGGGCTTGGGGACGTGCTTGTGGCTCTGGAGTCCTCAGCACAACAAGGACATGAACCTGTTGGAGTGGGGCCAGAGGAGGCCACAATAATGATGCAAGGGCTGGAATCCCTCTGTTGTGAGGACAGGCTGAGAGGGTTGGGGTTCTTCAGCCTGGAGAAGAGAAGGTTCTGAGGAGAGCGTCTTGCAGCCTTTCAGGACTTCAAGGGGGCCTATCAGAAAGACAGGGACAGACTTTTTAGCAGGGCCTGCTGCAACAGGACAGGAGGTGATGATTTTAATCTAAATGGAGGAGATTTAGACTAGATAGGAGGAAGAAATTTTTTTTTTAGACTGAGGGTGGTGAGACCCTGGCCCAGATTGTCCAGAGAGGTGGCCCATCCCTGGAACTGTTCCAGGTGAGGTTGGACAGAGCTGCTCTAGTTGCAGATGTCCCTGCTCCATGAAGGGGGATTGGACTAGATGACCTTTGAACGTCCCTTCCAACCCAAACCAGTCTGATTGTGGCATGCTCTGTGATGGGACCTTGTTACTATTCCTCTGGGCAGGCACCACTACTGCTTCACCATTGCACAGAAAGTTTTCCTGCAAGCTTGTCCTTTCCTTGTGTGAAGGGAAAACCGTAACTTCCTCTCTCTGCCCAGGGATACTCGTTGAGCAGTTTGTTCCTACTGGTCCCCACCTGCAGCTGTACAGCCACAAGACACACAGCTGGATGGAACTCACCCACTGGCACTACTCTACCATGTATCTCTTCTTCCTCCTCTCTGGCATCGTGGACATCGCCTCGCACTCCCCGCTCAAGCTGCCGCTTGGCTTAGACCGGCTCATGCTGGCTGTGGCTCTGCTCATCGAAGGTGAATCCTGCCCAGTGCCTGGGGGAACCATGCCATGGCTTAGGGGAAGCACTGGAGGGTCACCAGTGTGCAGCAGCCCCAAATCCCTGGCCTTTTTGAGCCTGGTGATATGCTGTGCAAGCAGCTGGGGGGGTCCGCAGCTGCATGATGGCACCGGCTGTATGCTGGAATCATCCCCACTCCCTGTTCCTCTCCAAATATTAACCAAACCATGGCTGGTCCTGGTGTGCAGGGGATGCAGGGGGCCCTAGGAATGTCACCTTCTCCTGGTAACAAGCATCTGGAGTCACAGAAGGGTGGTGTCCCCCCACCTTGATTGGATGCACAGGACAAACCCTGATACAGATCTCCCTGCCAGCCTTTGAACTGGAGGTCCCCATCATGGTGCTCCTTCTGACAGCCCTGACTGGGGCACAGATGGTTTGGTGTGTTGTGGGTGTGTTGTTTTGGTTTCTTAAATTATTATTATTTTTTTAAATAAAAAGCACAATCCAAAACAGCTCTCTTTCCCTAATGCAGTGTGAACCTTGGCAGGTTTGCTCTTCTGTTTCCATGACTACAGTGATGCTGCACTGGACCATCACCTCTACTCCCTGCTGGCTGTGGCTATATTTGCTGGAGCCCTCTGTGCCTTCCTAGAGGTATTCCTACGAGACCACATCATCCTGGAGACCTTCAGGACCAGCTCCTTCCTTCTCCAGGGCTCTTGGCTCTGGCAGGTCAGTGCATATCCAGTGTTCTCCAAGCCTTTGGCTTTGTGCCTGGGAAGACAAGCAGAGTGGAGCTGCTCTGCCCTTTACAGCACGTCTCTTGGAGTTAAACTCGTGGGCTGGTTGGAATATCTTAGGAAAAAATGAGGGTTAGTGCCAGAGCTGTCATCATGGAGATGTGTACGTGTACTGTATGCAGCATGGACAAACCTGTATGCTTAATGGAAATCAGACCCCACAAGGGTGGGAAACCACAATCATGAATTTCTTGTTCTTTTTATTGGGCCAAATTTCTTCCTCTGTTTGTTCCAAGTAACTGGAAATATCTGGAAACCTCTTGTGTAGTTGCCCAGCTTTGGATATCAGGAGAAACGTGCAGCCTGGCACTGTAGCCTTTAGGCTGTCTGTCCTCTTTCTCTGGGGGTGCTGGGCTGCACTGTGAGCCCTAAGGCTTGTCTGCAGAGCATCCCTCTCCTCTTGAAATGCACCCCTGAGTCAGTCTGGGGAGGCCCTTGGTGTGCTCAGGGGGTGCTGTGGGTGATGGTTCAGGTGTTAGGGTTATTATGCCTCTAGGCCATAGTCAGCTGCAGCAGCTTGGCTAAAAACAGGAGAAGGGAGGAGGGATGTGCTGAAGCCTGACTCGTGTTGGTGCCTTACCTCTGTTCTGTTTACAACCAGATTGGGTTTGTGCTGTCCCCTCCATGGGGAGGACCAGGCTGGGATCAGACCGACCACAGCAACTTCACCTTCCTCACCATGTGCTTCTGCTGGCACTATGCAGGAGCTCTTCTTGTCTTGGCAGCAAACTCTGCTGCTTCTCGCTGGTACGTTGGGAAGGGGGGTCCTGACACCACACACAAGCTGCCATGGCCAAGAGCAATGCCTTGACCCAGTGCTGCACGGGGAAGTCCAGGTGCTGGTGTATCACGGGGTGAAAGAAGGTGTCCATGCATGTCCAAACATGGACTAGCCCATGGGTTGGCTGGAAAGGATGGGCTTGGTGTAGCCCATCCTTTAGTAGCCTTCCCAAGCAGGCTTAAGTGAGCTGAGAGCTCTCACTGCCCACAAATGCCTGACCAGTCACTGTTCCTCCTGCAGCTGCAACGAGTCCTGCCAGCTGAAATTCGGGGACATCGACGTGGAGCTGGACTGTGGCATGTGCATCCGCAGAGGCAACAAGAGCTCCGACGGTGCCCTGCTGCCAGAGAGCCCCTCAGAGGACAAATGAGGCTGTGACGAGCATGGAAACCTCTTCCCTGTTGTCAATTAGAGCTTTTGAGATGAAGTTTTTAATTAGTCTTGATAAACTACACAGGCACTTGATAGTGGAGCATCAGAAGTGGGAGGCAGGACGCAGAAGGTGGAGTGCAGCACGAGAGCCAAGAGACTTTCCTGTGCACCCTTTGTGTCCAGCTGGTGTGGACTTTTTGGCTGTTCTTTTAGCATTGTTTTCACTTCTGCTTCTGCAGAAGAGAGCCAACCAGAGCTGAAGGAGCCTGGTGGCTGTCACTCACTCTGGTGTCAATGGAGAGGATGTTTTTTTGTACGAAGCTTGATGTGCACAGAGCATATGTGATCACTAATAAAGTACTTTAATGAACCATCTTCATGGGTCTCTTGAATACAATGCCTTGAAGTCAGAGGCACTGCTAAGGTGGTGTCTGGCTTCAAAACAGTTTGAGGGTGAGGATCAAGTGCCCAATGGATGGGATTGCACATGACTTAAGGTGGTCCAACGTGTGGAGAAAGGGGTGGGTGGCCAGCAGATGGAAAGGATGCAGGTTGCCCTCTAAGCACTGGCATGTAGCTGCTCTCCTGCATGTTTTCAATCACAAGGAGGATAGGTTAGTTTGAGGTAGCCTGTGTGGCTGCAGGGCAAGGGAGAGTCCCTACCACTCTGCCCTAGTGATGCCACATCTGGAGTATTGTCCTGGGCTCCCCAGTTTGAGAGAGACAAGGAACTACTGAAGAGTCTAGTGGAGGTTACAAAGATGAGGCCGACTGGAGGTGGTTGGAATTCCTATCCCCACAGGAGGTCTCTGGGAGAATGAGTGCTGCATGTTTAATTCAATTCTGTATTCTCCTTTTGGAGCAGGGCTGGAAGGAGACTGATGCTTTGTGCTGCAGGCAGCTATCCAGAGAAGGACCTTAAGGAGCAAAGGAACCAAGCTGAGTGTGAGGTTTTGGGCTTGGGCACCCCTGCACAGAGGGCTGTGATTTGGGGTTGTAAAGCAGGCTGGCATTTGGGAGCAATGGTTTCTCTAGGATCTGGTGTTGGCAGGGGTTGCCTTTCAACCAGAGCTGATGTGGATCTCCTGCATTAGAGCAAGAGCTTCAGATGTGGAGGTGATGTGCTCTGGTTATTAACAATCCTCGTGGGACTAGAAGCAGGGTCATTCAGTCAACTTGTTATAGAATAGCTGCCATTAAGGGGGAGCTCAGTGCAGAGGTTATAACCCTCTGTACTGCACTTGGTGGCAGGGGTTGCCTTTCAACCAGAGCTGATGTGGATCTCCTGCATTAGAGCAAGAGCTTCAGATGTGGAGGTGATGTGCTCTGGTTATTAACAATCCTCGTGGGACTAGAAGCAGGGTCATTCAGTCAACTTGTTATAGAATAGCTGCCATTAAGGGGGAGCTCAGTGCAGAGGTTATAACCCTCTGTACTGCACTTGGATTG